TGATGGACCTTTAGGTTATTTCAGTTTTTCATATTTACACAAGATGCTGCACTAAATACCCTTATATGTGTATCTTTAGCTACCTGGGCATTAATTTCTACGAGGTGGAATTACTGGGCCAGAAACCATATGCATTTTCTACTTTTGCACTTATTACCAAATGTCTTCCGAAAGACTATCAACTTACCCTCCCTCCTACATTGAGTAACATGCTTATTTCCCAACAAAGCTGTGGATGGATATATTGTAACTGACAGTAGTGGTTTGGTTCAGGTAACAGTCTTGTGGGTGCTTAACTATACATTTTTCTCTCTGTTTTTTCCTACAAATCACTGCTTGCTTTTGTAACACACACACATAGATAAAATACTTAATGAAAAAATTGAATGCTTTTAAATCCTTTGTCTTTGAGATCTTTTAATCCAACATGCTATTAAGACAAAAGCATGGCCATAAAGAGTTCTTGGCAGGAGGCCTGAGGGGCTTATGAAATCATTATTGGGAGGCAATTTATAGGGTGCATCTTAGGTTTCTAGGTAGTGGTGGAATAGGAAGAAGTATTCAAGAAGTGGGAGTCTGGGGTCATACATTGTCCTCAGGAGGGACTTCTATGAGAGTGAAGAATGTGGAGTTACGCCCTGCCTCTTATGAGGCTCCTATCGTCTTGAACAAGTTGTCTAATTCAGTGTTAATTCTTACATAGTGAGTAGGGGAGAAGGGCAAGGGAAGGTAGTACTGATCCTAACTTATTCTTTTGGTATAATACAAAAATCATTAAATTATCTTTAATATCCTATATGTAGCAGTGGTGCTAAAAGTAGATACTTAAGAATGGCAGTTATAGCAGAGAAAGCGTAAATCAGCTAGTAAGGCAATTCCAGAAAAACTTAGAGTAATCTAAATCAAAATGAAGAATTCAACAAATAAAAGCGGTCCTTGATTTTGTCTGTCATCTAAAAGTACACTGGCTGCTACATAGGCTAAGCGAAAATAGTGGGGGTTTCATTTGTCTAGTTGTAGTTACATTTTCACCTCATTAACACATCTCAGAATGTTCCAAAATATCTTCCTTTTTCTTTTTTCAAATTTAAGGTCTGTATTTTTGTGGGCCAGAGTGGAAATGTATCTTTTGTTTTCTGTAGGTCATTCTGTCTGCACATATGCATCCTAGTTTCAGTTACATATTTCTAAAAAAATAACAGGAAGTATTTCCAGACACATGGATTGACAAAGGGATAGAACAGGTGTCCCCAAACTACGGCCCGCGGGCCGCATGCGGCCCCCTGAGGCCGTTTATCCGGCCCCCCACTGTACTTCAGGAAGGGGCACCTCTTTCATTGGTGGTCAGTGAGAGGAGCACAGTATGTGGCAGCCCTCCAACGGTCTGAGGGACAGTGAACTGGCCCCCTGTGTAAAAATTTTGGGGACGCCTGGGATAGAACATTAGGAATCTAGACTCTCCTAAAAGGTCCAGATTGTGTAAGTCTTTCCACAAAGCGTTACTGTAATTATTTGTAACAAATAATGATCCATGTGAATATTAAGGATGTTTGATGTACTATCAGCTGCCTCTTTTCTATATGGATGAGCTATAATAAAGTAACAGCTTAAGAACTCAGCTTTTTCAGGTGTGTGTTAGATTTACTCTCTCTTCCGTATCCCTAACTTCTAACAGAGGAGGTAGAATCAGGACATCAATAATAATAAGATAACCTTTGTTTTTATATATAATATAATATTTTAAAGGGTTTTGAAGAACAGCCTGACATATGAAATTTGAATATGTTTCAAGGCTGTTCCAACTAAAGTAAGGTTTTGACTTTTCTTGTTAACCAACAAAATCAATATGTATTTGTGCATATATATGATTTATTCACATATACATTATCTCTGTCAAATATATACATGCAAGTCATTAACAGTTTTTTAAATCTACAGACTGTCATTTTCTGATTAACTAGTTTTCTAGTTAAAATGAGGGCAAAGAAATCCCATTTACACTAATGTTTAGAAAATTCAACATGATGAATAATTACAGAAGCAATCTTGCCCAAATTAGAAAACTGTTATAAGGCAGAGCCTTCTAAAATGGGGCTGTGACTTGGGAACTATTCCTCCCTCTGTCTTTTAAACTATTTTAATAATTGTATTCTGCTCCTAGAGAATTGGAAGGCTGTCAGTTCCCTTTATTTGAATGCTTACTATGTGCCAGAGACTGTGCTGTACACTTGACATGTATCATTTCACTTGGTTGTCATAGAAACTATGGATGGAGGTAGTGCCACTTGAAAACTGAGCTTTGGAGAGAAAAAAAAATTTTTTCCCATGATCATGTGGCAAGTAAATGGTGGCATCCAGACTTGAACTTCAAAGCCTTGCTGCTTTTAACCAGCATAGTTAAGTCAGAGTCTGAAATCCATCTCCTTATCGCTTTTTTTTTTTTTTTTTTTTTTTAAATGTGGTCTTCTCTGTCACCCAGTCTGGAGTGCAGAGGCCCTATCATAGTTCACTGCAGCCTCGAACTCCTGGGTTCAAGTGATCCTCCTGCCTTAGCCTCCCAAGTAGCTAGAATTACAAGCATGAGTCAGCCTGCCCGGCCCCTTATTGCTTAATTGTAACATGAACTGAAGAAGTAGCTAACCCTGTTGGTTAATTCTTATTAGGAAAAAAAAAACACTGCACCAGCTATTAAAAAAAAAAAAAGGCAGCAAAACAAAAACTAAGGTACCAAGGTATACTGGAAAAGAATATTGAGCTTGGAAGGAGACCTGAGTCTGTACTTGGCTCAGTTACTTAGCTCATGTATCACTTTCTTAGGAAGGCCTTTCTCTGCCATGCCCTCCTTGTTTGTCTCTATTAGAGCACTGAACTCATTGCCGTAATTACCCTATTGCAGTGATTCTAAGGTACACATCTTTCACATTTTAACATTTGTAAAGTGTGGATGCATCTTATAACTGATGGTGTTTTGAAATAAATTGGCAGCATTTTTCCTTAATTACTGGTACTTAAGGATGTCATTTACAGTTGATGACAGATTTGATTAAGTACAGTATTTATTTATATGTGTTCCCACACAGATGTTTACATCATTCTCATGGTTTTAAATACCAGATCTATGCAATGATTTTCCAATTTCTAGCCTTTCTTAAGGTCCACCCTTCTATGTTGAACCACATTTTTTCTTCATAGCACAGGGATTACAGATTCAACATATCTACTTCTCCAAATCAATTTGTCTTCTAGTATTCTCCATCTCAGTGAATGGCATCCCCATTTGTTTGAATCCCAGTTCCACCCTATAGTAGTTACTCAAGCATGCAGTGAGATATGTCACCTTAACTCTTCACTTGTCAAATGGGGAACATAATAACACCTATCTCTGAGGACTGTTAAAATGACTAAGACATTGAATAAATGTTAGCTGCCCCTAATCTTTATCGTACATATATGTGACTTCTCTCCCTACTCTGCACGTGTAATTCATCAAATCCTTTCATAGGTAGGCCCTTCGGAGTGTCTTAGATCTACCACTTCCATCTTGTTGCTACTTCTCCAATCTAAGCCCCTATTTTCCTTGCCTATGTAGTAACTAATATTGTAGCTCCTCCTCTTTCCCATTTCTAATCCAGTCACAGCCCATCCATTAAATCAGAGCATGCCCCACTTCTTAAGACCTCCCTCACCCCCCACCCAATGCATTTGTTTTAAAACCCCACATCCTTCATGTGGTCTGTATGGTTCTCTGTTCCCTGCCTGGCTTCTGCCTATTTTTCCAGCATCATCCTATGCCACTTTGCCTCCCAGTGTCACTCTTTTCCTGCAAAAGTAACTCCTACTCATCACTTAGATTTCAGCCTAAGTGTCACTTCCTCAGAGATGATTATTGATCTTCCAAACTAAATTACATTCTTCAGTTATAGTGTTTTATATTGAATGTGTACCTTTCTTATTTGGGATAATCAGTTTCTTTCAAACTGTGGGTAAAGAAGTGAAGTAACTTCCCTAAGGCCATAGAGTGAGATCTGTTAGAACTGGAATTATTCCATCTGTTACAGAAAAAAAAAAAAAAAAAAAAAAAAAAAAATCCGAAAAAGAAGAAAAATCAAAATTAAAATAAAAAAAATAAAAAGAACTGGAATTTCAACCCGAGGGGATAAACTCTAAAGCTGAGTCCTTTCTGTGATCTTTGGTGCCTTGAGGGCAGGAAAAAGCATATGAATCAATGTTCTTGGTTTTAAAACATGGCCTCACTGCTGCTCGTTTCTTTCCTATTTCAATTGGTCCATAAATGAGCTAGGTGCAGTGACTCATGCCTGTAATTCCACACTTGAGAGGGCAAGGAAGGTGGATCACTTGAGCCTGGGAGTGGGAGACCAACCTGGTCACCATGGCAAGACCCCATCTCTACAAATGAAATTAGCTGAGCGTGCTGGCGCTTTCCCATAGTACCAGCTACTTGGGCTAAGGACGGGGGGCCAAGGTGGGAGGATGGATCCCTTGGGCCCAGGAGATTGAGGCTGCAGTGAGCTCTTGGGCCACTATACTCCATCCTTGGTGACAAAGTGAGATCCTGTCTTTAAAAAAAAAAAAAAAAAAAAAAAGGCTTTCCTTTATTCTTTCTGAGCCTTTACTCTCCCTCATTAGATTGTAACCTGTTAAAGTAGGACCTGTTTTTTGATATGTATTATCAACCTAGCACTTACCTAAATTACCTTGCATACAGTAGTTACTCAATATTTTTTGTCTTAGGGATGTTAAAGAAAAATAGTATTTTATTCCATTTAATCTTTTCAAGATTTGGAGCTGTCTCATGGAAGAATTGAGTAACTTCTTTCTTCTACCAGTCAATGACAGTACATTTTATGTTTTTATACTTTGAATAGAAATGCTTTAAATGTTTTTAAAGCTAAGCTAATAGTTTGCATCTTAATGGATTATTACCTTTGTTTCATTGGGAAAAGAGTGAATTAACCTTACATGTTTTTGCTTTCCTTCAGGAATTAAGTGATCTACAGCGTGATCCACCTGCTCACTGTTCAGCAGGACCTGTGGGAGATGACTGTAAGCTTTGCTCTATTTCTGGGATTTTGCTACCATTAAAAATGTAGGTTTGAACATTTGTTAATGACTCCAAAACTCCTTTGTTTGTTTCAGTGTTCCACTGGCAAGCCACTATTATGGGGCCTGTAAGTATGATTCATATATATGAAATTAACCCCCTCAGCCATACTTCATTCTTGCCATTTCACCTTTGATCAGATGTTTGTGACGAAGGTTGAATATTCTTGTACTCTGAATCACCTAGGAAGCAAAATATTATTAAGGATTTACAGTGATTCTCTAGAGCATTGGTGGCAAATATTTGCTGAATCCCAAATCAGTGGACATAGTAGATTGCCACAGCTTGCAACCAAGCTCTGTGTTTTATCTTTTTTGTTGTTGTTGTTTGTTTGTTTGTTTTGTCACAGAGAGTCAGTTGTGATTAAGCATAATCATTCTCACATCCACAGTTTTGGTAGGTTAGTAATTAGTCTAATGAAGCCAGTAATGGAATTCCTACAAGAAACAAACGTCAATTTGCCATACGTTTCATCACTGTTCTTTTTTTGTGAAAGAGAATCAATAAAATATTACAGTGAGGGTTTATCTTTGCCACCTTATAAATTTGCTGCTTTTACTTTTATTGGATTGTCCTAAACACAAAATTGTCTACTGTTTTATAGTTGGCTACTCTCAATACTTAATACCTTTGTTAAAATTATTTCTTTCAATACTTGAGAGGCAGTTACGAGACTTGAAACAGGCCTTTTCTTTCTATGAACAAAAAGTTGATTGCATAAGAATGAGCACTGACAGCTCAAATCTACTTTCTGGGTGAGAGTACATTAGTAACGTGTTTCCATGAGCATCATTCTCTCCTCCCTCCCCTAAAAGCGCTTTATCTAGTGAGTTACAGAGTTTTTAATCATAAATCCTTGTGTTTAACTTTAAAAAACACTAAAACTACTGAATTTCAAAGCAGGACTCTGGGCAGTTGTCTCAAATTACTAAATAGTTTTACCTTTTTTTTTTTTTTTTAAGGTAAAATACAACGTATTTATTTATGTAACAACTTTCAATAAGAATCTAGTTATTTCTGTTTGTTTTTAATTAGTTACTAAGAACCTTCAAAAATATTCTCATTTAAAGGCCAATCCTTGCCTTTTGAGTTATGGCCTTTCACAAATATTCTTTAGGTGAATTACATGTAACAAATGGTTATGATTGCATTCTTCATAACACCCTTCCTTTGGTAATATAAATATTTACAGTACTCTGTATTATCATTTGAATATCTCAGCAGACCGTATCTGTCATTGCAATTTACCTTCATTTTCTGTATTTCTTAACAATTGTTGGTAAACTAGAATTAATATATATAGTAAGAATTATTATACAGTATAATCCTCTAGGATATATGTTGAAACTTAAAGAGGAAGTAATGACAGTCGTGTTTTGCTGTTGTTACCAAAATGCTAATATAACATCATATATTTAATTAAATATGAAAGAATTAAAATAGAATTGTAGATATATTTTCTATCATTTTTCATTTATAGTTTTGCTTGCAATGTTATATTTTCTAATGGCCATAAAGAAACATGGTCAAATTTAAATTTCTCCAGTAAAGTTGATTGCCAATTTGATAGTAGTATGAATATGTAATCCGTTCCTGGCTCTTAAGTGACCATCAGAACTTAAGTTTTACTAGCCCTAATGCTTTTGAAAAAAAATACTCATTATGGCTGCAGAAAATGATCTTTTCTCACAGCAGTCTTGTGTGTATACTGATCTTTAAAAATTTGTACTCATAACCAGATTTGCTTGGACAAGTCACACTACTGTGTGCGTCCTATTTTAGTTTTGTTTTAAACTTTATGATGTCGGCATAATTGTTGGAAAATCCTCCTTCGTGCCTGCAAAGAGAAACCTGTTCTCAAGGTAAAGATTTGAACTTATGGCAAAATGGTTGCATTTTTTCAAACTGGCAATATTTAATAAAATTATTTTAAATGTGATGGCATTTTTTTTTCAAACTGATAATATTTGGGGGAAATAATTTTGTTATAAATATAGTAACCAAATGCTGATGCAAATCTTTTGTAATTTCAGCCTGATAGCGCATATCAAGGTGGAGTCTTCTTTCTCACTGTACATTTTCCAACAGACTATCCTTTTAAACCACCAAAGGTATTTTTATTTTTATGATTGATGTGACTCTTGTGTAAGGGATTTTACTTTTTATCTATTACTCATTTCATGATGTCAAAGACTGTGGGAGGTTAGCATTTTCAAACTGTTTTGTAAAAACCACTGAATCTAAAATCTGTTTTCTTTTTTTTTTTTTTTTTTTTTTTTTTGAGACGGAGTTTCGCTCTTGTTACCCAGGCTGGAGTGCAATGGCGCAATCTCGGCTCACTGCAACCTCCGCCTCCTGGGCTCAGGCAATTCTCCTGCCTCAGCCTCCTAAGTAGCTGGGATTACAGGCACGCGCCACCACGCCCAGCTAGTTTTTTGTATTTTTAGTAGAGACGGGGTTTCACCATGTTGACCAGGATGGTCTCGATCTCTCGACCTCGTGATCCACCCGCCTCGGCCTCCCAAAGTGCTGGGATTATAGGCTTGAGCCACCGCGCCTGGCCGTAAAATCTGTTTTCTTATATGAAATATTGTATTGAGTCTCTAAACAAAAATCAGTATCTGTCATGCTATAAATTAGATTCCTTGCTTTTCTTTCCCTTCTTATTGGATATATGTAGTTTGGGACGTTTTTATGATTAAGAGTCAGATTTTGTATTCATGGAATTGTCTTTCCTAAGATAATCCTTGATCCTTCTTTCTCCTTTTATTTTTAAGTATTCAATAAACATTTACTGGTGCCTACCATGTTCTACACTGGGGAATCCAAAAGTAAATATGAAACAGTCCCTTTATTTAATATGGTAGGAGACAGAAAAACATCTTCTTATTAAGTTTAGATTTGCTCTAAAGAGGAAACAAATGACGGGGTTATCAGGGAGGGAAAAAATGAGCAGATTCTGTCACTCAGGAAATAATTATTTTAAATAGTTAATAACAACAGATTAACATTGTATTTATGAAATGATATGACAGCTCTTGTGGAAGGTTAGGATTCTTGATGGATTTCTTAGCTGAGACCCCTCAACTTTGCGCTGAAATAGCATCAGCACCCCGTTTTTAGATCCAACTATCACTTCCAGGTATCACCAATAATCAAATTAAGAACAGGATTACTTCTACATATGATGAAAGCCATGGTTAATTACTTTAGATGCTACTCAACCAGTCATAGCAGCTACTACAGAGTTATTTATTACACGCTCCAAAATACTTTTCAGTTCCTTGGAGGGGGAAGGAAGGAAGCTGACTTATTTGTATTCACATTCTCACTAGCTAGAACTGTGTGTAACACAAAGTAGATGATTCTTTTATTTGTGCTGAAGACTTTTCTCCTCTAAGGTTATGTAAAGTTGAGGATATTTTTATCCTAGAGAAAATTGGTTCTGTTTTATTCATAGTTGATGCACAGGTTACATTTTGTTTTTTTGTTTTATGTTTAGATTGCTTTCACAACAAAAATTTACCATCCAAACATAAACAGTAATGGAAGTATTTGTCTCGATATTCTGAGGTCACAATGGTCACCAGCTCTGACTGTATCAAAAGGTAATTTTATTGATCAGATTTAAAACAGTTGATAACAGTGAAACAGTAAAAATACAGCAGAATTGCCTGTGGAGTAAAGTTTTAAGAAAACAATCAACTGTGCTTTCTTCTGTTTTGATTTTGTTTTGCTCTCTTTGCTCTTATGTTACTCTGGCTTTTGGCAGTTAGCTTTGGTTGCGGGGAGTGTGGATGGAGAAATCCGATGAAATGAGAAAAAACTTAAAATATTAGAGCTAGAACTTTGGGAATAAACCTATTGACATTTAATACTTTTAGCTTGGGTGTTGTCTTTTAAAAAAGAGAGACTACCCAGGTGCTGTGACTCATGACTGTTATTCTAACACTTTGGAAGACTGAGGTGGGAGAATTGCTTAAGCCCAAGAGGTTGAGACCAGCCTGGGCAACATAGCGATCTCGGCTCACCGCAACCTCAATCTCCCTGGTTCAGGCAATTCACCTGCTTCAGCCTCCTGAGTAGCTGGGATTATAGGCATGTGCCACCATGCCCAGCTAATTTTTTATATTTTTAGTAGAGACGGGGTTTCACCATGTTGACCAGGATGGTCTCGATCTCTTGACCTCGTGATCCTCCCGCCTCGGCCTCCCAAAGTGCTGGGATTACAGGCGTGAGCCACTGTGCCCGGCTGTACTAGCACTCTTAATTTATGTCTTGTTTCTCTAAAAGAAGAGAACCTGACAGTTGGAAAATACTGTTTAGATTAGAAGCAGCTGCACTGAAGTAACCATCAAGTTTTCTGTTTCTATAAAATTGAAGAAAATGTTTCTCTTGAAGGGATTTATGGAAGAAATCTATTCTCATTTTTATTTTTAATAATTGCTGCTTGAATATACAACATGTTTTTAAAAGTAATAAGGTTTATAGGAAGCAGAGTCCACAGCCATAGATTTTTCAAGTGTTAGATAAATAATAGCTCTTTCAGTTCAATTATTTATGAATGGTAGTTTTTCTGACCTAAGATGCTCATCTATAATATTCATATAGATTCTCATGTTCTTTTAAGAATCGTTCACACAGTGTGACTGTCACGCATTAGATATATGAAAGATTCTGTGTTGAAGGGTAATTCAAGTTCGTATGCTCTTTCCTGGAATGATGTCACAAAGTGAATCTCATTTGGCACAAACAGCTAAGTCCTTATACATAGAAAAGAAATGGCAGACTGTCAGATGCTGAGTACTTATCTTCTGACATTGGTAGCTTTTTATAAAGAATCAGTAGTGTTAGATTCCAGAAACCATCCTTTGAGAAATGAAACAGCCTCAGTTTCCTTATAAGTAAAATGGGAGTCTTACAGTATTACCATATAGGGTTGCTATGTTCCTAGCACATAATGGGCACTTCCATGAATGTTAACTGTTACCCTTTTCCTTACCTTAAAGGATAGACATGGTTTGTGTGCATCATAGTAAAATTCAGGCAAATGGCTCCTGGCAGTAGGAGTGGGCAGAGGAGGAACTTCCTTCTTGCTTATTTTTTATAAGATAGATTGCACCTTGCTTTTTTTTTTTTTTTTTTTGGTATTTTTTTTTACTTTTCTATATATTTTTATTTTTTTAATTTCTAACTTTTTTATCTTGAATTTTTTCTTTTAATTAAATATAGACAGAGTTTTGCTGTGTTGACCAGGCTGGTCTCAGACTCCTGGCCTCAAGTGATCCTCCTGTCTTGGTCTCCCAAAGTGCTGTGATTATAGGTGTGAGTCACCTTGCCCAGCTTATTTTTTTAATTTTTTTATTTTTGAGATGGGGTTGCTGGGTTGCCCAGGATGTCTTGAACTCCTAGGGTCAAGGTTCCTTCTGCCTGAGCCTCCCAAGTAGCTGGCATTATAGATAAATGCCACCATGCCTGGAGCTTTTCCATATTTTAAATGACTTCTTTTGATTTTTATCATGAGGTTAGTCTGGAATCATTCTGGGGCTGTAAGTTAGCCCAGAAAATCTACCCTGTTGGTTTAATATACAAGGCTTGAAGTTTCACTGGGCAAATAGAAGATAAGAAAGATACATAAAATACTAATTTTTTCTTTAGTTCATAATACCCCCCCATTTGTCTGTCATGTAAGAGTCAATGCTGCTCTATAAATCCACCTTTGGACTTGAAAGAATAGGAAAATGGAAAGGAAACACAGTGAGGTAGGGGCAAGTGGAAGTGGGAGGTTGGTCCAGAGGTTCCCTGAAACTCCTCAGAAGTGGTGGCATGCAATTGAAGCAGACAAATGAGGAACCACAGTCCTTGTTCCCTCTTATTTCAGATACTTAGATCTTAGATTGTCTTCTTTTTAGCGTAGCTATTTGCATTAGGATTTTGACATACTGGAGTAACAACTACTTTTTAAATTTTCATTTCTATTTTAAAATACGCAAGTTATATGAAGATAGCTGTTCACATTATTTTTAAATGCATACAACATGAATAAAGTACATGAAGTAAAGATTCGTTGAAAAAATTTTTACAAACTTTCCTTCTTTGTAGATAGACTATAGCTCTAAGCCAAAGTAAAAGAGTGTCTGAGCACAGTATCCAAATGGTATATGGACTGTTAAGTGTAATTTGATTGTTCTGTAGAGAACTCTCAAGTTTAAAGGTTGTTAATAGCTACTTTGGAGGGTCACTTTTTTAAATAAATAGAAACTCAAATAGAAGTTAAAACTTCAAAAGCTAAAATAATTTTATATTTTATCCATCCTAGGGTAATTTTATAACTTTAAAAATTAAAGATCAATTTACTATCAACCAGGATAGAATAAAATGTAATTTGATATGTTCATTTTCTTTTGTTTTTCTAATAAATTTAGTATCTGTATTCACTAAAATTATTTTCACATGTGTAATTTATATGAACTGGAAAGATTATTGTCTAATATGATGTTCTTTTTTAAATCTAGTTTTATTGTCCATATGTTCTCTACTTTGTGATCCTAATCCGGATGACCCCTTAGTACCAGATATTGCACAAATCTATAAATCAGACAAAGAAAAGTAAGTGTTTACTTATCTTAGTTTCTATATGGATACAATCCTATATAGTATGCTAAAACATGAATATCATCAGTGTATTTTGAGTACAGCTTGTTATGCATATAGTTTTATCTTTTTCCAATGGAGTAAACCTTTCTGTTAGAACTCAATTTCTCCTTTTACAATAAGTCCTGTTTCTTCTCACTTCCTGTTCAATAGTATATAGTCTGTATTTGAAAAATAAATACATATATTCTAGGTGGTAAAGAATTTAATCACTGGAAAGTATTAAATATTGTATTGCCTATCTTCTCCCAGGAAGATGAGTTCTCTCTATGCCCATCCTAATTCTATGCCCACTGACCTAATTCTCAAGCTGCTTCATCTTGCCAGTACTGTAGGTTTATTTGCAATTTGTAGATAATGCTTCTTCAGGATTGGCTTTGTACATTTCTATTAGAAGCTGGTTTCTGCATTTTGTTTTTTGTATATTTGGATACATTTTCATACAGATTGCAGAGAAATCCATTAGTTGAAAAATTGTTTTTCCTTTTTCATTTCTGCATGAACCTAAGTCCCATTGACCCAATAATTGATATATGTGTCATTATTGCAATTAAGTATACAAGGAATACATAGTTTTATATAGACAGATGCTTCTAAAATATTAATTTTGTATGTTTTTATTATATTCTTTTTGTATATCTACAGATACAACAGACATGCAAGAGAATGGACTCAGAAATATGCAATGTAAAATGAAAAACATTTTCATATATACCAGAGTACTGTAAAATCTAGATTTTTTTCAACATTAGCAGTAAATTGAGCACTGTTTACTGTTTCATTGTACCATGAAACCATTTGATTTTTACCCATTTTAAATGTGTTTCTGAAGCAAGACAAAACAAACTTCCAAAAATACCCTTAAGACTGTGATGAGAGCATTTATCATTTTGTATGCATTGAGAAAGACATTTATTATGGTTTTTAAAATACTTGGACATCTGCATCTTCAGCTTACAAGATCTACAATGCAGCTGAAAAGCAACCAAATTATTTTTTGCTGAAACTAGATGTTTTTACATGAGAAATACTGTACGTGTTGTCTAAGATGTCAGTTTTATAAATCTGTATTCAGATTTCATTCTTTGTTAGCTCACTTTATAATTTGTATTTTTTTACTGTATAGACTAAATATATTCTATTTACATGTATGTCAACTCATTACTTTTTCCCTGTGAACAGTATTGAAAAACCCCAGCGGCTGATAATTAAGTGAATTAACTGTGTCTCCCTTGTCTTAGGATATTCTGTAGATTGATTGCAGATTTCTTAAATCTGAAATGATCTTTACACTGTAATAATCAGCATACTGATTATGGAGAAACACTTGTTTTGATTTTGTTATACTTGACTTAACTTTATTGCAATGTGAATTAATTGCACTGCTAAGTAGGAAGATGTGTAACTTTTATTTGTTGCTATTCACATTTGAATTTTTTCCTGTATAGGCAATATTATATTGACACCTTTTACAGATCTTACTGTAGCTTTTTCCATATAAATAAAATGCCTTTTCTACTATTTGTCTTGATTACTTAAAAATATAAAAATATAATTAAGGATCAAAACTCTAAAATTTTGCATGAAAATTACTTCCAAATTGTGAAAATCAGATCTATTATGTTTGGCATTAGTCACCATTAGTTTTATAAATTTTATTGTTTTAGGTTAGTATCTCTTTACTAAATTATCAGTCTATAAGATGATATATGTTGATCCCTTGCTGTGGAAGAGAATTTAGAATAATTTGGGGTTTGTCTGGGATTATATCTAAATGGATTATTTGTTAAAAGTACTGAAATGAGTATGAGGCAGTATCACCCAACCTGAAGAAAGGTCTTTATAGACCTGTACAAATCACTAGATTAATTCATTAAAATACTCCACCCCTATGTAATTGACATATTTCTTAAAATTTTAAAATCTAGAATTTCTAACATGGAATTTTAATGCCATCACAATTTGAAAAGCATTTTTTTTTTTTTTTTTTTTTTTTTTTACTGTAGAACTTACAAAGGAAGTTCTAAAATTATGCCTCCCTCTGTTTTTGTAAGTGGCCATCCAAAAGTGATTTAAATAAGCAGATTATCTTTATAGATTTTTTAAAGAAAACTAGAAAGTATTAATGTTTTAATGTGGGGGAAAATACATCTCTTTAATGTTTAGCATGCTTATCAACCTTGAGCGAGTGTCATTTTTAAGAACAGTTGTAGCCCTTCTGATTATTGCAGTAGCTGTAGAAGTGTGTAAGAGTCTATGATGGGTGTAGTCATTAGCAAAACATTTAAATCACTTGAGTATTTTGTCATGGTTCATTATTATTAAAGCACAAAATAACCTATTGTTAGAAAATATGTGTTTTTATAAATGAATGTAAAATAAATGAATTGTGAAATGGAAGTTTAAGAAAATATAGGTTTAAAAAGTAACTCTATAAAGTGATGTCTTAAAACAGCCATATCATGAAAAATTCTACCTAGCTATGTTATTATAAGCTACATTTGCCCTGAATTTGAACACTCAACATCATTAGATTTAAGTATTTAGTATATTTTGATAGTAAAGGGTTTTGTTTCTTGAGTATCTTCCCTTAAAAAAAGAAAACAACTTTCATTTGTGTGGCATTTATTTTTGGAAGTGTCTTTTTTTCTTTATTAAAGTTTTTGAAACTTGCCTAACTCGTTTGCCTTTGCTTACATCTGGATTGTACTAGACTCAAGGAGTAAGCCGAAATTCTCATAATTAACTAAAAACCTTGAGTTCCATAGTGGCATCATGCTCAGTCAGATCACCATTTTGGGCATATTATTGTTGCATAATTCTAAAGGGAGAACATCAGTTACTCATTAAAACTATAGATTAAAAGCCAGGGCCTTTTCATAGATTAAGCATTAACTTAAGGACTTCCTTGGAGTGAGAGAAATTGGTAGTCTTTTGGGAATTTAGGATCCCACCTCTTGAAGTTGCATAGTTGAAAACCATGTTCAAATTGGATTCTGAACACTTGTAACTGCCATGTACAGCAGTTCACATCAGTGATACGGGTTGTAAGGGCAGCCTCACCACCATCCTCCAACTATCTTGAAAGCATGATTCCTGAAGTACAAGCTTTACATATATGCCTCTGCCAACCATATTTAATTATTCATTTTTGTATTATCTCCCTGTTTTACCCCTCTTAAACTCTGATAGGAAAAATTAAAAATTACTTTATAAATGAACTACATATCAAGGGCAACTCTTAAGAGTTAATGTTCAAAAGTTACTTTATTAAATGATAAAAATACATTGCAGTTTTATATTTTCCTTATTTATCACAGGGATCTATCTTAGATGATTTAGTCATTGACATTTGTCGGGATCCTGCTCTCCCACAATTCTGTATTTTTTAAATGGAGAGATTAAGGAAATTAATTTCCCTCCCAAATTAAAAGAAGTTCTTGATTATGTAACTATATCACGCCTGTTTGTTGGTAGTTAGTTTGAACTGCACAAAAGCCCAGTCCAGTTGCTTATGCTTTAGAATTTGAGTTCTGCAGTATAATCATCAGTCCTGTTACTCTTATCTTCTTAGGACTAGCTATGAAAAATGTGATCAATGCTTTAGCCATGGCCATAAAAACAGAGCTTCATTGTATTCAGATTGTTGAAATACTGTTTATCTTTGTTTGTTTCAATCTTTTAAGTGATTGTTAATAAAATAATAAATCTGATTTTTAAAAATTAATTTTATCACTTCTGTAAGCTGTAAAGTAGGACTTTCACAATTTTTTTTCTTTAAAGCAGAGGCTTAATCAATTTAATAGCTGTAAAATATAATGCAGATTATTTATGAAAGGTCTTATATCTTATAATGCTTCTCTTATCATTTTGATGGTTGTGTTGCACAAATAGGGCAGCAGGTAGAGTCTCATCTAATTTCACTTATAAAGTTCCTATGTGTAAATAACTAGTCCTTCCTACTCTTTTCTCTCTCTCTCTTTTTGAACTGAGTAATGTGTCTGTAAGCTCTCCTTAAACTGTACGATTAATATGTTTTCTTTAGGAGTTTTTGTCAGTAGTAGTGATAACTGAAAATTTGTAGAAGCTGATAGTGTCCTGGTAACAGCCTAATAGATGTTTTATCACTTATTTGTATTTTGTTACATTTACATTTCTATTCCCATTATCCTGTTTTTTATATATATGTATATAAGAATATGGTTTTAACTTGTAAATGAACTGAACTAATAGGAAGAGAGAAAATTCACCTGAAAGTATTAGTATTGGGGGGCATTTTGTATACTAAGAGATATTTCTCTAAAAACTTGGTTAGCACCCTCTTAGGGCCTACTGTCATCAAGGAAGAGATGTATCTTTCTTCTCTCATGAAGAGGTTACCTTTATTAAACTGGTACATGCTGAAAGTCTGAACTATGCTTTCCTCATATAATATACTTAGAAGGAAAAACTGTTAAGCTCTCTTGAGTGCATAGATCACTATGAATTGTATATCAAATATTTCAGTATAAACTGTTAATACATATTGTGGGAACAGTTGTAACACCACTTGCGTTAGCACTGTTAGTACACTTGTTTTGGCAGTCATAGTCCACACTTTCAGTATGTCCATAGAAGAATGCACGGGACTTAGCATATTGTCATCACAGTTAAGATTTATTACAGCCACCTGGCAAGGATACACGGTGGGGGCAGTAAGGGGGAAAAACTGACCAGGCAGTCTGGAGGAGTCACGTGCAGGCTCCCTGTGCTTTCCCTGAAGGGGCCACAGAGTAAAGGCTTCCTCTAGTAGTAGCATGGGTATAGTGTTTCTGCTCAAGGAAGCCAGTGTGAAACTCAAAGTCCAGGGTTTTTATTAGGGGCTAATCACGTAAGCACCCTTTGTTCTCCAAAATTCTAGTCTCCTGGAAGGAAAGCAGGTGTTCACCATAAATCACATTGTTTATTTAAGAAGTCTAGTCAGGCTAGCACAGCAAGCACATCTTATCACTCAGGGATGGTTTCAGAAGCCAGGTTTCTAGATGTCAGCCGAGGACAAACCTTGTAAACAGGCCCTTCTAAACATCAGGCAGCCTGTATAATTTGCTGGAAAAACTATTCTTTCCCCTTGAATGGCCTTAGTACCCTTGTTGAAAATCAACTGACCATGGCGGTTTATTTCTGTACTCTCATTTCCATTCCATCAATCTATATGCCTAACCCCAGTACCACACTGTTTTGATTATTGTAATTTTGTAGTAACTTTTGAAATGGAGAAGTGTGTGCCCTCCAACTCTGTTCTTTTACAGTACTGTTTTGACTATTCAGGCTCCTTGAAATTCCATATATATTTTAGAGTCAGATTTGCCATTTGTCATGAGATTTAATTGGGATTTATTGAATCTGTAGAGCAATTTTCTTAAAGTTGACTTTTTTTGTTCTCTCCAGTACTCATTTTATAGTTGGGTTTTATTTAATTTGGTTTTTATCCAATCTGACCATTTTAGTATTTCAATTAGAGTATTTCATTCTTTTGCATTTAATGGAATTACTGATATAGTTGGGTTTATACCAACTATGTTCCCATTTTTGCCTTTTTTTCTTGTTAGCCATGTTTTTTTCCCCCTTTCTTTTTACCTTCTTTTGTATTAACCAGTTTTCATAAAGTATCATTTTCTTTCCCTCTGATAATTTGTTAGACATTTTTTGTACATGTGATTACTTTATATTAGAAGATCTATCTTTGATTATACTTTAATATCAATTATTATTTGTACCATTTTTCCTGTAATTGTGAACACCTTAGACCACCTGGATTTCAGTTGTCTCTTTCCTACCTTTTGCCATATTGTCATGTATTTTAATTTGACATATATGTTAAATTCCACAAGACACTGATGTTTTGTATGTCAATGTCATTATACCTACCTCCAATTTTACTTTTTCCAGTATTGCTTTCCTGTTTCCATCTGGGATCATTTACCTTTTTTTTTTTTTTTTTTTTTTTTGAGACGGAGTTTCGCTCGTTACCCAGGCTGGAGTGCAATGGCGCGATCTCGGCTCACCGCAACCTCCGCCTCCCAGGTTCAGGCAATTCTCCTGCCTCAGCCTCCTGAGTAGCTGGGATTACAGGCACGCACCACCATGCCCAGCTAATTTTTTGTATTTTTAGTAGAGATGGGGTTTCACCATGTTGACCAGGATGGTCTCGATCTCTCGACCTCGTGATCCACCCGCCTCTGCCTCCCAAAGTGCTGGGATTACAGGCTTGAGCCACCGCGCCCGGCTCATTTACCTTTTAACTGAAGAACTCCCTTTAGAAATTTGTTTAGTGCACATCTGGTGACAAATATTCTGCTTGGTTTTGTTTTTCTGAAAATGTTTTTATTTTGCCTTCATTTTTACAGGATATTTTTACTGGGAATAGAATTCTAGATTGGTATTTTCTTTCAGCAGTTTAAAGATGTCATTCCATTGTGTTCTGGATTCCATAATTTTATTGAGAGGTTGACTATTATTAGTCTATTTTTTATTGAGATGGAGTCTTGCTCCGTCGCCCAGGCTGGAGTTTAGTGGTGTGACCTCGGCTCACTGCAACTTCCGCGTCCCAGGTTCAAGCGATCATCCTACCTCAGCTTTCTGAGTAGCTGGGATTACAGTTGCATGCCACCACACCCATCTAATACTTGTATTTTTAGTAGAAAAGGGGTATCAACATGTTGGCCAGGCTGGTTTCAAACTCTTGACCTCAAGTGATCCACCCAGTTTGGCCTCCAAAAGTGCTGGGATTACAGGCGTGAGTCACCGCACCTGGCCTTATTAGTCTTATTATTGCTTTTTTTAAAGTAATATGTCTGATTTCTCTGACTGTTGTTAAGATTATCTGTTTTCAGCAGTTTTACTATGGTGTTATGAGATGTAATTTTCTTTGTCTTTACCCTGCTTGAGGTTCACAGAGCTTCTCAAATCTGTAGGTTGATACATTTTCATCAGTTCTAGAAAATCTCAGCCATTATTTTATTGCATATTACTTCTGCCCCATTCTATTTCTCCTGTTAAGGGCCCCAGTACAAAAAATATATTTGATCTTTGGACTGTATCCAACATGTTTTCAAACCTTTTTTCTTTTTTTTTTCTATTTTATTTTATTTTATTTTATTTATTTATTTATTTTTTATTGCATTTTAGGTTTCGGGGTACATGTGATGAACATGCAAGATTGTTGCATAGGTACACACATGGCAGTGTGGTTTGCTGCCTTCCGTCCCCTCACCTGTATCTGTCATTTCTCCCCATGCTATCTCTTCCCACTTCCCCACCCCCGCCCCTCCCCCATTTCCCCCCAACGGACCCCAGTGTGTAGTGCTCCCCTCCCTGTGTCCTTGTGTTCTCATTGTTCAGCACCCGCCTATGCGTGAGAATATACGGTGTTTGATTTTCTGCTCTTGTGTCAGTTTGCTGAGAATGATGGTTTCCAGGTTCATCCATGTCCCTACAAAGGACGTGAACTCATCGTTTTTGATGGCTGCGTAATATTCCATGGTGTATATGTACCACATTTTCCCTATCCAGTCTATCATCATTGGACATGTGGGTTGGTTCCAGGTCTTTGCTATTGTAAACAGTGCTGCAATGAACATTCGTGTGCACGTGTCCTTGTAGTAGAATGATTTAGAATCCTTTGGATATATACCC